AATTAAACCACACAAAAAAAGCAGACATTTTTTAGGGGTGCCAATCGTTTTTTAAATCCTAAAATTAAATCCCAAAACTGAAATTTTTAAACCGTGAAACTTGATGTTGCGTCAGAAAAGTTTTAAATAAAATTTGACAATACTTACTTACTTTTCAAAATATTTGATACATATTAAAAATATGTTATATTTTTTAAATCTTTAAACAAAAATTAATATTTAAAGGATTGTGCATGTAACAAAAATAGTTTAAAACAGAAGACCCATCTTGATCCCATAATCATTATAAAGTAATAATATTACAATTCTAGAACCTCCCCCAATACAAAACAACTGTTTATGTTAATACAATTAATATGAATATAGTGAGTTAAGCTGATAGTAGTGACAATTTGAAACCTAATCTAAAAAGTTGGAGAAATGTACACTGCAGAAATAAGTCTGCTAGAAGGGTTATCCTTAAAATAGGTAATAATATTTAACAAAATTGTACTTGCGCACGATCCTAGTCCTTTAATAAAAGTTTATTTAGGTCCATCTCTAGACTACAAGGCAAGTTGAAGTAAGCCAAAAAAAAAAAAAAAAACCATGTGTATAAACTAAATTTTAAACCAATCCTGAAATAAAAAAGGAAAAAAAATGACTTCACGCCAATGTTGGGTAACCTTAAGCTAGAATAGCAGTAGATGTACCTTGTACGCTTGCGTGATGGGCGTAAAACAGATCAACGGTAAAGAGGCACTACGAGAACCAGCAAGACTAGAATTTGTGCATCAAAACTAGATCGCAAGACTAGCGATTGGATAGGCCTATTCCTGGTTCAAATCTCATGACACCCGAAAGGAAAATAAAACCCTGGGAAGCAAGATTTCCTGGCTATTCATCGAAATTCACGGTTTTCCCGGCCGGAAAATAAAATTTCAAAATTCCCGGTTTTTCAGCTGCTTGGGAACCCTGAGAAAGTAGCTGCTACTCAAGGCAATAATAAAGAGACAATGGCAAACTTGAGAAAAGTTTTAAATTTTTGACAGAGATCAAATGATTATGTGAAATGGGTGATAAACACAATAACATTAACATAAGAGGGAAAATAAACTGCATGATAGTGGGAATGTGCCCAAAGAACACCAATTAATTTGCACAATAAATCAATAGTGAAATAGAAACTCAAAATCTCTGGTGAGATCCTCAAGACCTCGCTATCCAAATGAAGAGAAGCATGTTAAAATACACTTGGACAATATATTGGGGTAAGGATTGGGCATGGTGTCCTGGTGGGGGTAGATTAAGGATACCTGTTCGTTTATATCATAAGTGCTAAAGTGTCAAATCTAGTTCAGTCAGTTTTTTAAATTTTGGCAATAACAGACAATGGTCACACAAAAATCTGTTTTAATATTGTGCTTGGTCTTTTTAAAGTGGTCAGCCACAGACTGTTTTATTTTAATATTTATCATAGGCTTTGGCTGACCCTGTCAGTCATTTCCCAGTTTGTCCAATATCAACGTGTCTCATCACATGCAATGGATGATATAAGCCACGTTATGAGACTCACAGTAAAATTTAAGTCAAATATATGAAGTCAAATGTGTTGTATTTACGCAAGCATGGTATAGTGCCAACCCTGCTGGTCATATTGGGTGCTGATGAAAACCTTTGGCAAAATGTAGATCTACCTGTATTTGTCAAATCTAATTTGAGAGGATATCAACACTACAAGAATTTTATACCATGGCGTAGTCTGTTTTGAAAACCACTAAAAATAATGTAAACCGTATTTTATTTGGCGCCGTATTATTTTTAATACATAGCCTAACTAATGTTTAAAAGTAGATCTAGATTGATTTTAGTTGCATTTTAAATACTGTTTAGCTAGCCTAATTATTTTGTATTTTTAATTATTTTAAGTGTATGTGCTAATTATTGTTCTATTTCTTCTTACAAGGTTACTTCTAGATTCTAGATCTAGATTTCTAATTCTAGATCTAGGCCTATTGGATAGATTTTTTCGAAGTGACTACGCCTATCACAGCAGCAAAGTGACTGTGCGTATCGCAGAGGGTTACGAGTATATTTTTAATTCCGTATATGTATTTTTAATTATTTTAAGTGTATGTGCTAATTATTGTTCTATTTCTTCTTACAAGGTTACTTCTAGATTCTAGATCTAGATTTCTAATTCTAGATCTAGGCCTATTGGATAGATTTTTTCGAAGTGACTACGCCTATCACAGCAGCAAAGTGACTGTGCGTATCGCAGAGGGTTACGAGTATATTTTTAATTCCGTATATGGTATAGGGAAAATAATTCAATACCCTATACATACATAACTGATAAACTCTAATAAATTAATTCAGGTCCAGTAATTGATAATAATACTTCATATAAATTAATAGGCTTTATTAAGTTTGGAATTACAATATATTTTTATTTTGACCCACGGTAAGGGGTCAACCATAAATGACGTCCATTTTTTTAATATGATTTTTACCCCCCCCCCCCCCTCACATCGGGCATACATCATCACAAAAAGCCTGACACCACCCCTAAAATGACGTCACATGTCAGCCTACAACTCCCTCCCCCCCCCCCCCCCCCACCCCACAAAATTGCAAATGATTTTTTTTAGATTTAGCGTAACACGGAGCGAACCGCGCACATGCGCTTAAGTCTAAAGAAGTACTCTATTAACTAAACTAGATTCTCTAGATCTACCTAACTAGAATCTATGTCTTACTATGATAATAGATTATTTATGCCTATAGTATAGCCAGGGGGGGGGGGGGATTTTATACTAGTGTCCGATAATAGAATCTTCTTTAAAAAAGGGTGTTAGGTTACTGGTAGTTAAGTAAATACACACATGGTTGGCTGGCTAATCTCAATTTTATGGAAAAATCTATTATCGGACACACCTATTTTATGGAAGAGTCTATTATCGGACATCAGTATTTATTTAAAATCATCCAGCCAGGGCATAGGGCCTATATTATTATTATTTATATAACTCATAACCCTATAAACTCTATAATATAGAATTAAGGGCCTATAGTTTATACTATAAACTATAGACGCTTAATTCTATAATTATTATAGATCTAGAATCTAGATCTAATCCTTGATTATACTATATGGATATATATATAGTATATAGCCATTGATTTTTGTTTACTATTCAATTTGCTATAATATTTGACACAAATATATCACAATATTATATATAGATTTCTACTTCTATTAAAATTAAGGGGGTAGGCTCCAAAAAAAAAAAAAACCAACTTCTTAATTAAAACGTTTTATTAATTTATTTGTTTAAAATATTTCCATACATCGGAGATTCTTTTGAAAATATGGCTGCCATGGCATTGGCAACGGTGGCCATCTTGAAAAAAACATCATTTTCTGGAGTTCTAAAATTTCATAAACTAACATATCTATCAACTATATAACCATTGATCCTTCTTGTTTTAACACTGATAGAGTCAGCTGGCTAGTTTTTGTAACAGAAAACACTCTAAAAATGAGTTTTTTTTAATTTTCAAAATATGGTATGGTGAAATTCCAATGAAATTAATGCTAAATTCAATGGTATTTCACCATAAAAAAACTTTGAAAATTTCAAAAAAATATTTCTAGCTGTTTTTCGGTTTAAAAAAACTAGATCAGCTGACTCTATTGGTGTTAGTACAAAAATGATCAATGATTTTATGGGTGGTTTATATGTTACTTTATGAAATTTTAGAACTCCACAAAAGTAGTTTTTCCAAGATGGCCACCATTTCCATGGCAACCATATTTTCAGAAGAGTCCCTGGTACATGCAAATATTTTCCCTTGAGTACCCTACTTATACATACACAAATAAATAAAAAGAGCTTATTAATTAAAACGTTTTTTCCGCCTTTTAATTCAGGAGCCTACCCCCTTAAAGTTAATTAAAGCCTTAACAATGAGGCAAGTTTGTCGCACATTACTAGCCTCTGCCTATTTTACTTGTTTAACAATTAATAGGCCTACATTTTGTGTTAATTATTCCTATAACCAGTGAGTGTCATATTCAGTGGTCTAATAAATGAGAAACTTGCACCGAGGCCAACAAAAGCCACATAACAATATCTGTTAGATCTATAACTTTTCTGAACATGCAAGCTAGTGGACAACTTTAAATGTATTCATGTAAATTTAGTTATTATCTAATAAATAAAACCATTATGATATTTGATCAGTCAAGTTTTACACTGAAAATGATAAAAACTTTATAGCATTGTAAACCCGGACAAATGTCAGCCATTTTCACCAAAATAAAACTATTCTAGCCATAGCTATAAAAAATGGTGTTAAAATAAGCGCAAGATTCAGGGGAAGCCACTCTAACTTACAGATGTCCGCTTTTTATATAGCAAATCCTGCTCGCAAACACTGCCGTTTAAAGTTAATTTCTTGCCTATATTGATATATATATTTAGTATTTAGCCATTGATTTAGGTTTATTATTCATTTATCTATAATATTTGACACAAATATATCACAATATACTTCTATTAAAGCATTGACAATGAGGTAACTTTTTTGTACATTACTAGCCGCGGGCGATTTTAAGTACCTAAAACGATAGATTACCATTAGCCTAATTTTAAGTAATTTATATACTATAGGCGCCTATAGGCCCTAAAAATCCTCCTCAAAATGTGAAATAATTATTAAAATTTAAGGAGTCACCTGTTTTTCACATTACTAGATCTAGATCTGGTCGCGGGCGATTTTACGTACCCAAAACGATAGATTACCAGAATCTTTATTGAATATGAGCCGACTTGCTGCGTATCATACGCCGATATTTAGTTGTTTTTTTTTCTACTTTTCAGTAATTTACAATTTGACAACACCAATGCTGCCACTGAAAATATTTGCTTAAAAACACTAACCCCCCCCCCCCCCCCCCACGCGAAAGCAGCCTCCTCTAAGTTACCTCCTCTAAGTTTAAAATCGTTTCAAACTAAATTATCTGCCCCTAATAGCCGTCACCAAACCCGTCTCTATGATTGTAAAATGTAAACAGCGTGAACCACAGCTCACCAGACCATGTGAGGGGGTGGGGGTGGTAGCGATAGAGAGGAAGAGAGGGGACTGTAAGGCGCTTGCAGCTTGTTTTCTAACGGCTCCCAGAAGAGAATTATATATATATGAGCCGACCCGCTGCGTATCATACGCCGCTATTTAGTTTTTTTTTTCTACTTTTCAGTAATTTATAATTTGTGAATTCGACAGTACCAATGCTGCCACTGAAAATATTTGCTTAAAAACACTAAACCCCCCCCCCCCCCCCCCACGTGAAAGCAGCCTCCTCTTAGTTACCTCCTCTAAGTTTAAAATCGTTTCAAACTAAATTATCTGCCCCTAACTATAGCCGTCACCAAGCCCGTATCTATGATTGTAAAATGTAAACAGAGTGAACACCGCTCACCAGATCATGTGGGGGTGGGGTGGGGGTGGAGGAAGAGAGGCGGTAATCTATCGTTTTAGGTACGTAAAATCGCCCGCGACTAGTAATGTGAAAAACAGGTGACTCCTTACATTTTAATAATTGACAATGGGGTAACGTTTTCGGGTAAAATCTTAGTTTAGCGTCGTAAATTCCAACGTAGCTAGTAATGTGCGATGAAGGTAACTAATGAATATTTCTTTCATTTGGCCATATTTAAGTCATATTTTACATAATATAACAGATAATTGAATAACAAATCACAATCCAAGACCAAACCAGTCATAAATATCCTGGAATAAACTTTAAACTACCCCGTTCGAGACAACAATGAGTAAATACAAGCAGCGGCCATGTTTTAAAAACAATAAATTGTCTATTCGCATGTCTTTTGTGTTGATTTTGTGGTTTAATATGATTGTTTTGTATTGTTTTAATATATGTTGGGGGTCGTCCATAAATGACGTCACACTCGTAGGGGGAGGGGGGTCCGTAATTTTGTGACGTTGTGTGATGAGGGGGAGGGGTTTAGATGGTGCGACGTCACACTTTTGCATTTTAAAAAAGCAATGTTACAAAACGAATTTTAGACGTTATTTTGCGTTTTAAAAACTGTTTTAATACATTGTAATAACAATTGATTTAAATACTCTATTTTGACAGAGTTCAGACAAGATTTTGGAAAAATATAGCTGTTTAAAAACAATTCAACTGCAATTTTGAGGGGGGGGGGGGGGGTTGTAGGCTGAGGTGTGACGTCATTTTAGGCGGGCTCTGGCTTTTTGTGACTACGTGTGGGGGAGGGGGGAGGTAAAAATCGTCAAAAAAGGCGTGACATCATTTATGGATGACCCCCTGTATAGTAATTTTTCTTTTTTTTTAAATATAGTTGACATGAATGACTAATAGAACTTATCAGACTTAATAGTGTGCATCCAAGACCACAACAATTGTTGGGAGGTCGAACTTTTGAACACTTTATTTGCAGTAAGCAAATCCATATTAGATCGCTCATAAATGACGTCGCTCTTAAGATAGTAATGACAGCGTGCATTATTACAGAGCAAACATGTGAACAAATTGTTTCAGATAGAAATTGTGATTTGTGGTGGGGAGAGGTTGAGTAGAACTCAGCGATGTGATTTTGGAGACGGGTCAGGTTTTTTTTCGTGAAAACGGGATGGTTGTGTGAGACCAGCTGTAGAAGTATGCCGCGTCATTCATTGGTGATCCATTTTCTCAGTGGGGACGAAAGAACTATTAAGAAGGGTCAAGAAATGTAAAAAGCTTACCGAGTCGCATTTCTTGAACCCTACCTTTTTCATTCCCCCACTTAGCACATCGTCACCGAGTTAACGTTCGCACGTGACGTCATGTAGCGGTACCGCCGACCGTTAGGCTAATTTTATAGAAAAAAAAAACAACAAGCACTGCCTTTTTGACGCTTTTGCGACGTTTAGTTTGATTACATAGGTTGGTGTTCATTAAACAGCCCCTAACACATCTTATCACTCGTCCATTTAAACGTACGTAGTTATTTCTGCAAGCTTGCTGTCTTGAGACTTTCGGCCCTTTAAAAATGTATTAAGCTCACACCGTATAGAACTAGACTACCCATATTAAGCTCCAAAAGAAGCTTGGTGAAAACAGGATGGCCGTCCGATTTTGTAGCTGCTCTGCGCTTTATAAAAACCACAATAAACGATAAGATGACACTTATATTAAAGTAAATTATAGTTCTGAATCTTGATACATTAAAAGTGATATTCGGAAATTATGAGCCAGACAGTCAACATGATACTTCAATTTAAGTCCAAGAAAATAAATTTCCTCAAACGATGGAACATTACTAAATTTTTGCGCAGTTTAGCGAAATTGAATTTAAGTATTTACGTCATCTTACAAAGCGCGATAGCCTACTGGTGCTCTAACGCGGCCCATGCTAATGGCCGTATTCCTAACGCCCCGCATTAGACGCGGCTTATTCGTCGGCAGGCATTTGGTGGCAAGCTTTTTTGACGGGGATAATGTGTTAAGTTAAGGCCGTTTTGCCAAATGTCTTAAACTAGAAGGCTTGCAACATTTATAATAATTCGTTTTAAGCAAGGTATACGTATACTAATGCTTATTTATCGTTATTTTGATTGAACAAAGCATTATAGAGGTTCTCCATCAACCACATAGGTATTTTCCCCCGTTCACCTCCTTTCATGAGACCGACACGTCATAAATTGCAAAGCCGCCTGAGTTGACGTCACAAATCTTCACTCACTCCCGTAGAAAATCATATGTGACATCATTTATGGACAACCCCATATCACTCACTTGGGTACTTGATATTGACAATTTGAAAACAAAGGATAACCAAAATGTGACTGGCAGGTGGAGACTTGCGATCGACCATAATGACAACACGCACTTAAGGGGTGGAGTGGCTGATTTTTTTAGATGATGTTTTACGAGGGAAGCTGGTGGATAATACATTTTGTCTCTCTGAATATATAAATGATGACGAACATTTATTGTTGTCAAAATTATGGCTAGAGATCTTAGATAAGGCAGAGCGAAGCGTAATTTTTTACATTAGGGGTCATCCATAAATGACGTCACGTTTTGACGATTTTTACCTCCCCCCCTCCCCTCCGTCACACGGCGTCACAAAAAGCCAGACCCCCCCTAAAATGACGTCACACCTCAACCTGCAACCCCCCTCAAAATTGCAGTTGAATTTTTTTTAAACATCGATATTTTTCCAAAATCTTGTCTAAACTATTACAATTTATTAAAACAGTTATCTAAAACGCGAAATAACGTCTAAAATTCGATTTCTTACATTGCTTTTTTATAATGCAAAAATGTGACGTCGCAACATCTGAACCCCCCCTCCCCCTCATCACACATCGTTACAAAATTACGGACCCCCCTCCCCCCTACGAGTGTGACGTCATTTATGGATGCCCCCTTATGACTTGTTGTGACATTGACAACAAAAATATGACGGAGGTTGGGGTTTAATTAAGGTAAAGAGAAGTAAAAAAAATGTCATAAGTTACGATAGAATCACAAGATCTAACTGATGAAAAGAAAAACCTGAAATGAAAATAGTGAACATTCAAACAATAAGAAAAAACTCAAACTATATAGTAATAGTAAGATCAAATAAACATTAGTAAAAAAAAAACGTGATTTTAAACATGGATACAAGTTTCATCTCACAATGCTTCTAGAATTAATAAAGTTGTTTCTTAGGACATTCAGTTTTTAAAGAGCAGAATTTAAAAAAAAAAATGCTTTGTTATACGGACTATACAACAAGACAATCATATTTAGATACATTTTCATACGAATAGAAATGAAAGGGAAGCTACTCTAAATAACTTTTTCTTAAGATGGCTGCTGTTTTTAATAGCAAATTTACTATCTCGAACAGGGTTGATAAAAATTAATTTCAGGATATTTAAATTGATTTAACCATAAATAGTGATCTATTATTCAATTATTTATAATATTTTATCAAAATATACGAAAATATACTCATATTTAATGACATATTCATTATTGCACTCTCTCCTACATTACTAGTTTTGGCCGAATTTACGACGCTAAACTAAGATTTTACCCGTTTTCGTACATAAATAGCCGCGGGCGATTTTACGTACCCAAAACGATAGATTACCGAATCTACTAGTTAGTACTAACTAAATCTAGATCTAGTACTAGTAGTATTTAGTACTTATCTACTCTCTACTCTAGATTCTAGATCTATTCTAGATTAATCTAATAATAAAAATAAAGAGTCGAGATCTCTAGATCTAGATCTAGATCTCTATCTAAAACTAAAAGAATCGACTCACCTCTTCTATGTTAGACATGGTGGTATCTAAATCTAATAGTATTAATTTATAAAACTATATTAAACTTAAACGGAAATACATAGATCTAGATAGACCTTTAAGAAACTATCACTAGGATCAGTGCTGGAAGTTTCGATAGCTACTACCGGCGCCGGTTATATATCTATTTAATTATTTAAAACTACTAGAGCAATGGTTCTCAATCTTTTTGAGAGAACCGAACCCCACCAGTTTCGTGTGCGCATTCACCGAACTCTTGTTAATAGATCTGGATAGATAAGTAATAGATATAGAATCTAGTTCTATCTTCCGCTGCCGCTCCCCCTAGAACCATTTTATGATTTTAAGGATAGTGGTGCCTTTTTCGTAGAATAATTAAATCATATAGGCCCTAGATCTATATCGACTCGCCGCTCCCCCTGACCCCAAACCCTCCGTCAATCCCCTTAGGCTGTCTCACCGAACAGTTGGGGTTTGATTGAACCATAAATCAGGGGTAATCCATAGATAACGTCACGTTTTTTTTGACGATTTTTACCCCCTCCCTCCCCCAGTAGCGTAGCGAGGGGGGCGGGGGGGGGGGACATATGTCCCCGGGCGCCGAGCTTAGGGGGCGCCAAAAAGAAAGACTGTTCATATGTCAATTCACCAAACCATTCTTAACATAAATAAACCGGGAGTGATCTCCCCTAAACTTTCTCGAATATTCTTATATTAAAAAACAGGGGATGGGAACTCGGGATATAGACATGAATTTTAATCCATTTTAAATACATAAACTTTTTAAAATAGAATAAAATCTCGTAGAAAAAATAATTGCACACCAGTGAACGCCAAATAAAATGTGCATAATAGTGCGCAATATTATTAGTACTTTATAAATTAACATTATTTTTTGAGTAATCGGAAATAGCGTAAATTAGTACTTCCGGTCAACGGAAATTACTCAAAATTCGACAGATGGTAGAGAATTAGATCTTTTACTTACATGTGAAATTTCATTTACCTATCTGAAATAGTACTCAAGTTATAGGCTTTTGAAAAATTCAAAGTAGAAAAAGTACCACTTCCAGTTATCGGAAATCGCACAACAGTTGATACGGATCTACGATTTTGATAAAATGCTGATATATGAAATTTCATCAACCTAGCTCTAACGGTACTTAAGTTATCGTGTTTACAGACACACACACAGACATACGGACAAGATTGCAGAATTAGGGTTTTCCGTATCAGTGAGGTGTAAAACGTCGAGATTTGCAAAAATCTCTAATTTATTTTTATTATTTTTTTTTTTTGCACGATTACAAGACTTTCTCTATACTTCGTATGTACGAGAAAGTAAAAAAAAAAAAGATCTTTTCAACTTGAAAACATAGGTAGATCTATATTTTTTATTGGTGCACAAAATGAACCATTCATCAACATTACATTAAAATATGATTTCACACAAAATCATAATGAATATTTATTATTTACTGCAAATCAGTGCCACGTTGCTGTGCCTTATACACTGCCTTACAGGAACACTTACTAATTTAAGACCATTTTAATCAATTCATAAAAAATCAAATAGTGATCCAATTAAGTCAAATTTAATGTCATATTGCATTGTCATTGGGTATTGATCCAAGTTAGAAGTAGGTTAGAAGTAACCAAAAATTCGCTCTCCTGTTTCGATCTAGAGTCTAGGATTGAGACAGAGGAAGGAAGTTAAACGTTAAATAAAAGTTTATTTTTAAAAGTTTGTCACGCGCGTCTGTATAAGTGGTGTTTGACGAATCGTGATGTATGTGTGTCAAATCGTCAAGGCTTCCACGCACGAAATATAGAAATATCACGATAGGCCTACTGGTGCCTGTTATCTCGCTATTGCACACTATTAATAATCTATGTATTATATCGTGCTGTTGTATTTGAACTGTCATCGGTCGCGACTGCCAGTTTTATCGTCAAAACAGACAAAATGCGATCGTAAATCATATCAGTAGCGTGAGTGTCTTGGCCTCCACCGAACTCCTGAGACTGACACACCTAACCTCGGGGTTTTGATCGAACCCAGTTTAAGAACCACCTTTCTGTTGTGTGTGCCTATCGTCACGTCTGATAGTGGTCAGATAAAAATGAATATACGAATATCAAATTAATATAGGGTTGCCAGATACCTTTTCCGAAAATACTGGACACCTTTCCATCCTTCCCTTCTCAGGTATGCCGCAAAGCAGAAGAAGGGGGTAACAGTATATTCATATACTTGTCCAGTATTTATATTTATTTTATCCTGGACAGTCTGCTCAAATACTGGACTGTCCAGTTCAAAACTGGACACCTGGCAACCCTAAATTAATATACCATGTACAATTGTACCAGTGCATAATTTAAGGGTTGGTTTAGTGTTTGCCCGTCTGATAATAATAAAGAAATTGTATTTTATTACCAGTAGCTTTTTAAATAATATTATATTTTCGTGGCTTTATCGGACACTGGTACCACATAATCTTTTCCCTTGTGTGCCCCATTACACATGGGGCCGCCACAGAAAGCTCTTTCCACTTTAGCTGGTCTCTTGCAATCTTCTTAGCAAAATAGTCCTGCTTTTTCGATTGTAGAACTAGAGAACAAAAAGTCCCTGAAAAGTCACAGGAAAAAAGTCACTGGGAAAAAACTGAAAAAGTCACAAATGTGTATTTGCATGGAATGTGTTAGTAGTGATACTTTTATGTATTGTTATTAACTTTGATAGAGAATTCAGAAAGTGTAAATCAACATACGATTGAACTAAATGTAATTATGTAGTCTAAACATTGTAAATATATGTGCGTAAGTTGTATTTGTATCGTAATATAATTTATAACACACTTTAAAATATTGTCCCAACTGTCTCAGTTTTCATCGTTTTTATTTTAATACCAGAACCAGGGGCGGATTATATACGTTACGGTCAAAGCCCGAAGTCGGCTAAAGCACGCATTGACCGGCCAATATCGCCTCTCGTTGATCAGTCAAAGCTTTACTTGATTTCGATTTTTGGCTGGCCAGTCCCCGGCACACGATGGGCCGGCCAAAAACCGAATTAGAAGATCATCACTGACATCAGGCTAAGGGTGACCGGCCAAAGTCCGAATTAGAATATCAAGAGCAGATTTAGATTTTTTAAATACGGTAATGATCATGAAATTACGTTTCTATTGATTATTAATTAAAGTAAATGACAGAAACATTCAAATTATTTTATTGTACTATATTTGCAATCAATACTACCCCTTGTTACAACAAGATGAACTTTTATGTCTTAGTAGCTTGTTGTTTTTACACTTGCAGCGATCATTTATTGTGCACTTGGTTGTGCAATTGTAGTGAGTGTAGCCTTAGCCGCCGGTTAGTGATTGTGAAGATGCGATGGTTCGTATTGATTTTTCCTCACAGAGGCGTAGCGACCCTTCCCCTTCAATTTGCATCCCCCCCTCGAGATTTCGATTTGCACCCCCCTCAAACTTTCGATTTGCACCCCCCTCAACCTTTCAATTTATTTTTCCAACCCATTTTGGCGCCCCCTAAGGTTGGCGCCCGGGGACATATGTCCCCCCCCCCCCGGCCCCCCCCTCGCTACGCTACTGTTTCCTCAGTGCCAACGGACGACAATGAGAGCAGTATTTCGTGAAGAATTGAAAACTCACTTCTAGCATACAGTTGTTTTAGAACACCATGTTGGTTCCTAGCTTGTAGAAAACTCTAGTTCCATCCGTGTGCGACTTCTATGTTAGTTAAAATTTACTAAACCATAATGTATCTATAAATCCTTGCAAGAGCATTACATTTACATGTTTCAAAAAGTTAATTTCAGACAGTATGATACTATAGTAAAAAAAAAAGCATCACTGTCTGTCTGTATTATAATAATCAAAGATCTAAAACTTAACCAATTTTGGCAGACGTGACTTCACATTCAAGCAAATGTAGATCTAGCGTTAAACAGCCAAGAAATCCGCAGTGCACAAAAATCTGGAATGCAATTCTGTCGATATTTATCATGCAGTCCAGTCAAGGCGCAGTGATCGATCTACTTCGTTTGGTATTCTTAAACTTACGCCATTGCTCCCCCCTCACAATTTCTCACCCCCGTGATACCCAGCCCCCACCTGTATCCAACCCATCATAAGACTATCTCTTTGTAACATGGAGAACAAAGGGGAAATCAGCACCAATGCTCTCCCATCAACATTTCTCACCTCCATGTCATGTTATGTGTGTAACACACATCACTTATCAGGGGAAAGCATCAAATCAGATTAGTTAGTACCTTCCCTTTTAACATCCAAGAATCTTAACTCTGGACAGCTACACACTAGGTATACTAATGGGTGACCAGAAAGATGTGCAACGGAAAAAATCGCAAAACAAAAAGCGCAACGGAAAAAAAAAGCGCAAACGGAAAAAAGAGCACACAGAAAAAAAGCGCAAACGAAAAAAGCTCACACAGAAAAAAGCGCAAACAGAAAAATGCGCAACCAGAAAAAAGCACAACGAAAAATGCGCAAAGAGAAATTTTAGCACAAAGACCTATATGGATTAGATGACACATTTATACATGAGTGTTAGGGCTGCTGTGAGAGTGTCGTGTTTGATCACGTGATCAACTACCATTTAAAGCATAGCACTACCATGTGCATTCACATCACCACGATACAGGCGATAATCGCTTTACACATTGCCTATTATTTTCTTGGTCAATATTTATTCAACTACTATTTTTGTATAAATAAACATAAAACTATCCTTGATATCGACATTGCACGAAGTATCTCTCACATTCTCCCTAGTCCGAACTACCTAGCTTGCATACCATAACAACCCGTTCCTACGGCAAAACTTCACTCTCTTTCATTCGCGTCATCAAACATGCATTCGTCATATCTCTCGCACCAGCATTCATTCGCTCCAAAATACCCTAATAAAACACACATCATACACACATCATAACAATGATGTATTTAATACTATTTCATCATGACGCACCTACCTACCTACCTAGCCACTTACCTATCTACCTACCTACTTACCCACCTAGCTACCTACCCACCCACCTACCTACCTACCAAAATACCTCATTATATATATATATATATATATATATATATATATATATATATATACACACACACACAATGTGACGTTCTAGTTCGTTGTTGTCGGGGAAAGAAGTTAAAAGGTACTCTTGTTCTTGTTGTGTTAAGGTGATGTACTGTAGTACAGTCTTAGTATCGTTCGTTCAAGTCGTCCTATATATTTTTTATAGTGCAATAAATATGTAAAATTAAAAAATGTCGCTGTCGAATCATTTGTATACCTTGATGCCGTCGTGCTTTGGGATGAACTACTGAATGGCTAGACAGAATATAATGGTAGTGTAGACCCTCTCACTGCAAAGTTGCGGCCAGAGTTTCTTCCAGGCGAAATTTTTTTACCGCCTCCCCCCCCCCCCCCCGAACGAAATGAAATTTATATAATTTATATAGAAAATATATACTTTTAACAGTGTCCGCCCCCCCCGAAGAAAGTCTACCGCCCCCCGCCCCCCCCCCCGGAGAAAAAAGTCTGGAAGAAACACTGGTTGCGGGACACATATCCCCAGTTATAACATATTTATTTTTTTATTTATGGGTAGGTGCGTAAGTGGGTGGGTTGGTGGGTAGGTAGGTTGTTAGGTGGGTATGTGGGTAGATGTGTGTGTGGGTAGTTAGGTAGGTGGTTGGGTGTTAATATAGATGATATAGATTATGCACATTTCCATTTTGCTAGCTTAGTAACAGTGTTACAAAACTCGAACTTGCAAACTGGTTTGGCGTAAGTTTAGTTCATTGATCCGATTGAGCCATACATTACATAGTTAATCAGTTTAACAATGTAGATGCCGTTGGAGTAGGTCTAAGTCAAAGCCTGATGTTATAATAAAACTTAATCTCTCTTTGTTTCTTTATAAAAAGGTTATGGAATGTTTTTGAAGGTCTTTTTACTGAAAATGTTTACGGGACGAAGGCAAGATGATTTCAACATACATAGCTCTTCTGCTATATAGGCTACATGCTGCCCATTATGCTGTTCAGTACGGGAATTACCCCGGGACATTCCCCCCTCCCTGTTATTACCCCCGGAGTAATTACCCCCTCCTGTCAATTACTCCCCGCCCAGTAGGGTTAGAGCTAGGGGTTGAGTTTGGGCTAGGGTTAGGGCTAGGATTAGGGCTAGGGCTAGGTTTAGGGCTAGGGTTAGGCTTAAACCAGTGTCTAGAGTTGGTTTGGTTTTAGGTTAATTTTAGGGTGAGGTGAATTCTTAGGATTTTCGTCTTTGTCTTAAGGTTATGATTATGGTAAATATATAGGTATAGAGTTAGATTTACAATCAGGATTCTATCTTGTTGGATGGGCGGTTGGGTGAGGGGTGGGGGCGGGGGCGGTAATACCCCAGGGAGATAATTGCTCAGGTGAACGGAACAAAAGTCACAGGAAAAAAACACAGAAAAAAAGTCACAGTTTTTTCTAGGAAAAAAAGTCACAGAAAAAAGTCACAGTGGAAAAACTTTATCGGAAAAAAAGTCACAGAAATAAAGTCATAGAAAAAAAGTCACAAAAATCTTTTTAGAAATATTTTTATTAATTTGTTAAGAATTGTAAATTTTGTATGTTTATTGTTGTGGGTTGTATTTTTTATAGCATAAATTATATATAGACATTAAAAGCATTATGATTTATAACAATTGTAAGTAAAAATACTCTAAGATAATTAACACAACAATCTCAACTTTTGTTACGTATTTAGTTAAATACGCGGTAGAAAAGTTAACTATAAAAGAAATTTAGGCACATTTTGCCGTAGGCTATTCTCTGGTCGGCCTCTCCTCAGTAGGCATTGTCCGAACATATTTTGTGTTGTTGACGTTATGCGTCAATGACAGCCTTTGAACCTTGTCGGCTTTCTGTTTTGATCCTAAGTTTTGTTATGTAATGAGCGTGATAAATGTGGGCAGTAAAGGTGGTTGAACTAAACATAACTATTGTTGCCATGAGTTGAGGGCAGCAAGTCCGACGAACTTACCATTTTACGGTAATTTAATATTGGTATTTAAAAAAAAAACATGATGAAAAATGTGGACTTTCTATTAATGCTACTAATCTTAAGTTTAAAATAATTACAATCTATACATACTTCATAATAAATATTTTTAGATGAATTATAAAAATTCCTATGCGTATACAGCCTACGCACATTACATTACATTTAATTAAAGTAAGTTAATTTGCACTCTCTAATTATTTATACATAAAAGTATTAACAAATATCATGCAAATATATATTTGTGACTTTTTTTCCTGTGACTTTTTCCTGTGACTTTTTTCTGTTTTTTTTTCCTGTGTTTTTTGTTCCTGTGACTTTTTTTCCTACAATCAATTGCTCCGTGGGGGGGGGGGGGGGGGGGGTAAATACGTGGGGAAATGCCCAAGGGGGAATAACCGGGGGGGGGGGGGGTAATGTCCTATAGCCGTATTGCATGCTTTGGTTTGTGTTAGGATTATTACATATAAGTATTCGCATAGATTTAGAGTAGCGACCCTTTTGTTTACATGTTTTCATTACCCTTCAAACTATAGTCTATTTTAGTTATATTGAGATTAAAGAATGTAAATAAATAGTACACACAATTCTGTAGAATAGGAACGATTGGGAGGGAAGTGACATATAGCGTAGGAAATTTAGAGGTTAGGAAATGGTGGGGTTAGGAAAGTTTGGCGGTCCATTCTCTAATAGTAATAGGAAGTCTAGGTCTCGTTCGTACTTTCAAACAATAAAGAAGTTAATTATATACAAACTTCGTGTTGGTTTATTGTCGACCATGTCCTCACAAAACAACAGTTGGGTGACGCTTACCTTGTCATGTTAAAATAAATTGCATTTAATGTGATACTTTTTCTGTGTGCGGAACTTTCTGTGTGCGCATTTTTTCTGTTTGCGCTTTTTACTCTTTGCGCTTTTTTGTGTTTGCACTTTTTTCTGGTTGCGCATTGTCCTGTTTGCGCTTTTTTCTGTTTGCACTTTTTTTCTGTGTGCTCTTTTTTCCGTTTGCGTTTTTTTCTGTGTGCGCTTTTTTCTGTGTACGCTTTTTTTCTGTTTGCGCTTTTTTCTGTGTGCACTTTTTTCCGTTGCGCTTCTTTCTGGGAACCATAGTGATGTGCCTACTGTAAACTACTAGACTGTAGGCCCTATGTAGACCTGCAATTGTTGAGGGGTCCAATGGGGCCAAGTGGTAACTGGTATCATTTAATATGTGTGTACACAGCATTAAATAGTTTGGGGTTAGAAATTAATTATTTTTATTGTAGAGTTAGTAGACTAAACTAGGAGATAATGCTAAATGCTGCATTTGCCCCAAATGCTGATTTTGGGGGTATGACTATTAAACTATTAATACTAAATTAAACCAATTTAAAGTAAATTTAATAGCCTTTATTATTATTTTTATATTGTGTAAGATGTGTTAGAATAATTTTGCATTAATTTCAATGTTATAAAATACTTGGATTAGTAAAAATCTTTAAAAATATACAGGTGCTAAAAAGTGTGGCTCTTAGTGCCCTTCTTTACTATGTTCAAGTAATCAGACATACAGACAAAATTGCTAAGTCCAGTTTTCCGAAAAAATCCAAAAAGAAAAGCAGGCTCAAATAGGAGTCAATGGCCTCAATGGCACATAACCAGTTGACACGTATGCTTAATTGTGATGGAGGCGTGGTAGAGTCAGAAAAAGCTCATGGTTGACAAATTCAAAAAGTCTCGAGTTCAAACCCTCTGGCAGATAAGGCTCAATTCCTTCCAACATTAAAAATTAAGAACAAAGAAGACGTTCACTAAATCTAATCCAGGGCGTCCTCCGGCGCCACAACAGAGTGCTATTTGACGCCGAATGGAACAGACTATGGATAAGTAGGAGTACTATAGTGTTTTACTAAGTTGAATCAAGCAGTTCCGCCGGCACTGTGTACTTTGGCACCCCGGGATAGACTGTGTTTATGTTGGCAATTAAGTTTGTATATATGTTATCCATATTGTTTGCGTTTAGGTTTGCGTTCGTTTGTGATTTTTGCATTTGCAAAGTGTTTGTGTTTTCCTTTGCGTTAGTGTTTTCTTTTTTCTTTGTGTGTTGCTGTTTGAGTTTATGTTGTGTTTGCGTTTTCTTTTGTGTTAGTGTTTAGTTTCGTTCTGTTCCATCGTTTGTACATTTGAAAAAGATTCAGTGTGGCGGAACTTTGGAAAGTTGTTGCGAATACACCTGGAAAGGCTTCTGCGGAAATTTGTTTTTCGAATTCCTAGGGGTGGCGATTCAATTCTTCTCTGTATATGGTATATAATAAAAAAATTGATTCTGGTTTGATACCTTTCATCCAATTTCCATGAAACTTTGGTAGTTGAGAACATTCCAGGCGAGGTTTCTGCAAAAAAAATCTTTTTTTTTTTATTTCACAAGGGCTGTGCCATGGGAGGGTGCAATTTTTCTGTTTAGGGTATATCAAAATAAAAGTCGTATGAACTGTTCGAAACTGTTCATAAGAATGCCTTGAAACTTTGGTAGTTGGGGAGAACATTCCAAGGGAGGTTTCTGCAAAAAAAAATCTTATTTTTATTTCGCAAGGACGGCGCCATGGAAGGGTGCGATTATTCTCTATGTAGTGTTAAAAAAAATTAATGTCGGATGCAGTTCAAAACCGTTCATTAGAGTGCCATGAAACTTTGGGAATAGGTCAGAATACTCCAGAGAAGGTTTCTGTCGGAAGAAAGTCAATTTTGCACTGGCGGCCCGCTGCAGGGTGTGATATGGCACCCCAGGCTTTCCTGCGAGCACTATGGAGCCTACGTTCCCTAGTAAGGGCCATGTAATTCTTGAACCCTTACCATTATATTGATTGCATGGTCAAAATAAAACAGGAGAAAATATTCAAAGACATTGAACGCTTTTCAGAATTTAATAACGCTAAAAATAGGACGAGACTTGACTCCAACAAACACTCCCTCAAAATGACTTTACTACATGCCACACAAAAAACTTGTACAATACAAATTCTAAATATTCCCATCTCAAAATGAACACTCCACTTCCAACAACGATCATATCAAAATTTTTAATAAAATGATCATAAATTATCAAAGAAAAATAAAGGAAAATTAATACATTAAATTGAAATGAATTCTAACTAATGGTTTAGATGTTATAATGCCTACTTGTAGACCAGAAAGTCACACGCCAGATAATAATAAAGGTCAAGACCCTACAATTATTAACACAGGAAGTCAGATGCCTAGGTGCCTATTTACTTTTATAATAGAGCAATTGCTAATCTGTAATTGTGAAAGGTTTTATCAAGCTCATGTTTTTCTATTCAAAATAATGAGTATGAGTGAAGTTACCCTTTTGAACCTGAAGGTCCATAGGGCAGATGTAATTCACTTGTGTTTGTGATCTCAGTATATGAAGGGATGGTGTGGTCAGCATTGTGTCCAGCCACCTTGTAAATGAAGTTAGGTACCATCTGAGTTGGGTGGACTCAGGAATCCAAAGATCCTAACTCAACTTTTGGATAAACAATCAAATGCTCTACTGGCCAGCCATGCTGTTACATAAGTATAAATAGAAATAATGGCACTTAGAAATAACTTTATTACTAACTTATGCTTGATATATTAAAGAGTACATGAGGTAAGACAAGAATTGTAATGTCTTACCTCTCTTTACCTACTATAATTATGCTATTTATTTTTAAAAGGTGATTTAAAACTAAGCCTTCTATTTATCCATTAACACATAATAACTACTGGTGTCATACATTAAATGACAGTTGAAAACAAATGTGGTATTTAACATGCTGATTACTTGGACATTTCAGCACATAAGATGCAAGTACATGTTTTATGACGTAACCTCTTAAATGCAACTAAATAAATTTTAGTCATCTGATATGACTTCAGTTTTCTATATAATTTCATCCTTGAACAAATAACTACATTATTGATACTAATAATATTATAAAACACATTGGAAAGCAAACAGAAATCTGTGAATAAATCAACTCTTCTATAACCACCTCCCATCCAATTGTGTGCCTATGATGAATGCATTTCTTAAGCTTAATGCGCTGTGCTTGGGCAGTTTTTATTTATTATAGAGAAAACAGGTAAAAATAAGCTAGACTTTGGGGCACTAACAGAAATTCTTGCTTGGGGCGTTGTGGTCAAATGGTAGAGCATTTAACTGTTACTCCAAAAGTCTAGAGTCAGTAAGACGTTAACGAGTCCACCCAGCTCTAATGGTTAACTGACTCACTTTAGGGAAAATAAAAAAAATGCTGGGCACAGTGCTGATGACACTATTCCAAGGTAAGTAAAGCAAGTGAACTCTACTTCATCTGCCCCATGGACCATAATGTCGAAAGGGTACTTTACTTACACACTCATTTTAAAATTAAATTCAGAAAAACATAGTTAAAATATAAATTAAAGTACTGTATCAACATGAATACATTAAAATACAGGAGATGATGAGATAGTATCCTTTTCAATTAAACTGCTGTTTGAAGATGATGATTGATCTAATTTTTCATAATCAATAATTACAGTTTCAGATGTTGATGAAGGAATACAATCTGTGCCAGTTATTGGAATATTTATTTTTTCCCTTCTGACAGCAATATCATTATCAATATAATCTAATTCAGTTGGTAAAAGATTTTCCTTTAGATTCTTAGGCTTTCCTTGTTCCTCAACTAATGTAAAACGGTCAAGTGAGTTTTGTTCCACAAATTCATAATCTTGATATATTTTAGTATTTTTATCAAGTTCTTTCTTAGAAACTAATGTCTGGTTTGAAAGACTATCACTATTATTATTTGTGTTAAGTGATTCTGCATCCGTAAGCAAGGTACTGGAAGAACATACTGTCTCATTTTTTCCATCAATTTTTTCTGATCGGTCCATATAAAAAGTTTCAAAAGGACAAGAACTAATGCTTATACTTGTCTCAGAAGATATTCCTAAATGTATGAATAAGTTTTCTACATCTTTATTTTCTTGTGCTTCTTTTTTTATATTCTGTACTTTTGCTGCTTCTTCTTGTGTTAGATATTTTTTTGTTTCAGTAGTCATCATGTGATCCATTTCTTCTTTTTCTAGTTCTTCCAACTGATGTTTTAAAATGTTGATATCTGCTTCTAAAAGACCTAATAACTCTTCACTTTCTGCAATTTTTGTATGAATAGTCTGTAAAGAAAAGGTATATTACTATTAAAACACCTAAATTTTGGTGAAAACATAAGTCAAAATGACTTTTTACAAGTTTTATTTTTAAAATGAACTACTTTCAATAGTAAATAGATGTTAAGCTCAGAGGCAAAATTAGACAAGATAACTAAATTCAATCAAATATTGTTTGGTTTCAAGGTTTTTAACTTCCAAGTTTAATTAAAATAGCCTTGTCTATAATGGGACTAATTAATATAAAAGCTTTAGAAATTATAAAATAATACAGCTTAATCCAGTGCAGAGTATCCTAACATCAAAGAATGCAGAAATCTTGTAAAACTCTCATTTTAGGTTTGCAAATCAGAAGTATCAAATTAAGGAATTATTTTGGAAAGTTTTGAACATGTCAATAGTCCACTCAGTTCAGATATGTAGGCCTACCTGACTGAAATAAGGGAAAGTAAAGGTGCTGACCACACTATGCACTTGTATATTAAGGTCAAAGAAACAGGTATACTCTATGCTTGCTGCATGGACCACCAGGTTCAAAGGGGGCTATGGGACATTACCCCCCCCCCCCCGTATCCCCCCCCTAACTGTACCTTAAGCTGCGTCTGGGGGAGGGGGGTAATGCATGCCCTGTTCTCTTCAAAAGGGTAACTTTCGAATAGTTAATAACTGACAGCTACTTAAATCTTCTACTTAAAAATGTAACATTTTAATTTTAAACATTTAAACAATGTTTTAGTTTACAAACTTCGATCACCATTTGGTTGTAAGTTAAAGCTTAATTAAATCAATCAATTTAAGGGTCCACAAAAAGAAAATGGAATTTTAGACCCTTCCATGTTCACTAAAATTTTAAGTTTTCTAAAAGCTCATATCCAATATAGCCTACAGATTCAATAACATATGTTGTGTATATGTAGCTTGAAATGCTAAACTTTTACAATCTGCATCATAAAATAACTGAAATCATTAAAATTATTTTATTTTGCTAAAAAAGTCACGTTTTAAATTTGCTGTAGTAGTGGACAGCATTATAAGTCATGAGTCCACATTGAGTTCATGACAACTATTTATGTTTTCAACTATCACTTGTCACAGAAGTTCTAACTTTAAAGAGATAACATGATTTAATTACATGTTAAACATTGTTTTCTTTAAAATACTGGCACTGATGGTTAAATGTTTACATTTTGTTTGCAGGTTAAAAGTTTTATATGTGTTGCTGCATGTAAGTATTTTAATGTTCAACTTCAGATGTAGATTTCCACATGGACACAAAAGCTGTAACTTGGGCCAACACTCACTTGGAATTACTAAAGTTAATCAAATTCTAAATTGAAAATTACATTTGTTATTACTTTTGTTACTACTTACTGATAATCCTTTATTGAAAGAACAGGAAAGATTTTTAATTTTTAACCTTTGATTCATTTCACCAGAAGACTCGAGAAAATCATTTCTGAAAAAAAAAATTGAATTGCCTTAATTTAATTGAAAGAATCTCATCAATCATGTGCTTGGTCTTTGTCATGATTTAGCAATGACTGATCTAATGGTGAAGCATGATGCATGCAAAACAGTGAGTCAGTCTTAGGGACTCTGCAGAGGTTAAGACACACATCCAACTCATTCTATTCACAATTGGATTTTGTCAGTGCAGACGATAGAACAAGCAGCTGCGGCCGAAATGACATGCGGCTGTGGCAGATGACAGTTCAAATATGATGTAGTTTTAAAGTGCGCCAGAGCGAGATGACAAGTATCAATATTGTGCCAATGCCACATATACAGATGTGCATTGATTGTGTATGCACCTGGTTGAGTAACATGCGCAGAGCACACCCAATTTAGTACACAGCATACCTATTTCATTTATTTTCAGGGGGTCTGCGTGGTCAAGTTGATAAAGCTCGTGGTTACTAAACCGAAAAGTCTAGAGTTCGAACCTTCGGGCAGATGAGTCTCGTTAGCTGGGGACAGCCACTCTTCTAGGAGAGAACTCCAAAATCAAACAACTGCTGCCTTGTAGTTTATTCTTGGTTGGACAAAGGCTATGGAAGCAAATCCAAAAAGAAAAGCAGGCTGAAATTGGAGTCAATGACCTCAATGGTGCATAACCATTTGAAGAAGAAAAACACTAGCTAAAATTCAAGGTGAAGAGAGAGAGAGATTTGATGAAAGAGTCTACTGTCTATTCTCAGCTTTGTATCCTCCAACATACCAATCCTCACAGCACTGTAGGAGGCTGCTTACCTGCTTAGAAAGCAGGGCAAACCACACACCATTACTGAAACACTCATAAAATCAGCTGTGTTTAAGATCGTGATAATATGCTGGAAAAAGTGTCTGAAATTAAGTTATCCCAAATTCCTCTTTCAGCGAAAGATTAGAGGACATGAGCAAAGACCTCTTGGCTTAAGTAGTTACAGATCTGATTTCCTGTCAGGGAAAGTTCATGCTACAACTCCACAAGACCAGGGAGTTTCCAATCTAAGCCAGCATGCTGTATTCATGTGCTACGTAGGGGTCGGCATGGTCGAGTCGGTAAAGCTTATGGTTGCTAAACCGAAAAGTCTCGAGTTCGAACCCTCGGGCAGATGAGACTTGTTTGCTGGGGACAGCCACTCTTCTAGGAGAGACAACTCCAAAATTAAACAACTGCTGCCTTGTAGTTTGTTCTTGGTTGGACAAAGGCTATGGAAGCAAATCCAAAAAGAAAAGCAGGCTGAAATCGGAGTCAATGGCCTCAATGGCGCATAACTAGTTGACACGTAACGCTTAATTGTGTTGGAGGCGTGGTCGAGTCGGCAAAAAAGCTCATGGTTGATAAATTCGAACAAAGTCTCGAGTTCAAACGCACTGGCAGATAAATCTCAATCCCCTTCAACACTAATAATTAAGAACGAAGAAGAAGAAAGAATGTGCTACGTAAAAGACACAGTGATACAGAATATCTTTTTATTTTGTAAGCCTCTTGAAACAACTAATAAGGCAGCCGATGTAAAGTGATGCTGAAAAGAAAGTCTGCTGTTATTGCGCTAGTGAAAACGGATTTACCACATATTATTACGCATTATATTCTGCACTGGTATGCATTGGCAAAAAAAAAAACCTTGCCTCCAAAACTGGCAGAAGTATTAAGAATGGTAGTGGACTGCATGAAGTATTTGCAAAATGGTGCTCTGAGGCACTGTATCTTCGGCGGGCTATGTACAGAAATGGTCTCTGACATATCTTTGTGAAAAATCCCTTTTGAGGATTCTGACATAAAAATGTAAAGATTTTTATTAAAATGGTACTTCTATTAGTTTATTTTCATAAAGCACATTAATTTAAAAAAAAAACCCACAACCTTAAATTCAAGTGTCCAGTAAGCAAAATAGTAATATCCAGATGCATAAAATTGTATTATAATATTTGCTAAATTGCTTGCTGAAATTAGCAATGGGAATATATGATAGAGGCCTATAATATTAACAAAAAGTTTACTAATGTGAAGAAAATAAAGTATTCAGCTGGTATTCCCTAAAAATTAATTTAAAATATAAAATGCGATTTACCTAAGCTTGGACAGAGATCCTTGAATTGAATGGCACTGTAAAAATGTTGCACTGCTTTTTCTCCGATATTCTTTCCTTGTTGTATCTCCCAAGTTCATGACAATCATTGGTACTCCTACAAAATGCCTGGTCAAGTTAAAGTTTAAAGATTGTCTCATTTCAACCATTATTGACACAAATGGTTTGAACACTTACATCTACAGGTAGGTCAGTCAAACTAATTTTCAAATATAAATTATGACATCTATAGTAGTAGTAGAGTTATTTCAAAATATGGAAACAATATCTCTGAACAGAGGAATAGTTTTGTGCCCATATATATTGATATTTGTGACTTGAACAGTGGAAGGGTCACAGAGAGAAAATATTAGTTAGTCTTCTTGAATAAGAAGTGTATTTAAAAGTAAGAGGAAGTGAGCTTGAAATGATTTTATGTTTAATAGCACAGGTCTAAGACATTACCTACTTTCTATTACCCATCCCCCAATACAATTACCCTTTCGCTCCCACCCCCAACACCATGGTAGCCATTGCCTCAGCTTGGTGTCACTGTACAAAACTTAGTAACTGGGGATGTATTTAGTTTTCATTTGTACCTTCCAAGAATTTCCAAATTAAAAAGTTACAAAAAGCACACATTTGGGTGGAGAGAAATGTAATGTTACAATGGTTTTTATTTTAGTTTTTTTTAAAGTCATAGTGGTTTAAAACTTATGCTGCTTCTTTGCTTGTTTATATCCTTAAATAACAGCTTGTATATTTGATTGAATCTGCTGAAGCGCCAGATTTCTTCAAAAATTTGCATCAACCACGTTCATTACAAATATTGAGATCGAGTTATAACTACACTGAGACTATTGACAAATCTATTATTTAGAATATAAGTAAATCTAGATTTTAGAGTAGGGCCTATGACACTTTTTTTTTCTCCATTTCTTTGTTAATTATGCCCCAATTTAAACCTGAATAGTTATCATTTTTATCTGCCTGTTTTATAGTCAGTACAAGTGTAATCCCACGACCACCTTCTGGTGGGCCTAAGCATTTATTTCTCTATCAGACGGAAACGGAAAATATGTGGATACACTTTAAACAAGGAAAATTAAAGAATAACTTACAACAATAAATTTGGTTAAATTATATTATTATAATTAATTATTATTTCTTTAATTACACCCTAAACTGGTTTTAAAGCAAAATTGTAATGCCTTAAGCATTAACTAAGGGTGTAGGACAAAAGGCTGACATCCAAACAGCCGACAAGACAAAGGTCCAACACACACACATAAGGCAGACAGACTATGAGGCTGACAGCCACAAGGCCAACAGAACATAAGGCAGACAAACCATAAAGCCGACAAACATAAAAATACTAATATCGCAAAATATGTGTTACTACATAGCTCCTAACTAGACAACTATCAAAATATGGCATAATATAAGGCAGAAAGTTCAAGCCACTAGAGATTAAGGGAGTGTCTTAAACACTATAGATCAATACCTAAATATTGCGCTGACGGGAAAGCCCAGGGAGCCAAACAGCACCCTGCAGGGCATGGGAGAATTCTCCTAATTTGATTTAGTGATTGATTATAGCAACCCATTCCATCCATAGCCTATTTCACTCTTTAAAATGAACATAGGCACCAAAGAGCCCACGGGGGAGCCCAGGGCGCCAAATCACCCAAATTTTCATGGTGATCGGATGAAAAGTGTCAAAATGCATCAGACTTTTCTGCTTTTTATACGGTATATAGAGGAAAATCGCATCCTCAAGGGCCCTAACCCCATAGAGAAGAATAGAGAAGAATCTAATCTCATCCTGCCGGTTGCCAAATGTGCGAATTAGAATTTTTTCACCCCTAGATACCCCCCATGAGGATTCTCAACAACTTCCCAAAGTTTCATGGCAATCAGATATACTAGCATGCCCATCCTCGTATGTTGATGCAGGGTGAGAAGAAAGTCTGACGAGATTTTAAGAGGGTTTCATCAATGCGTTACCAATATTCTAAGACGTGTGACCCTGTTTTTCTAAAACTGGGTTATTTAAATGTAAACAATGCCTGCACAATATGTCTTGGATCATATATGTCGGGGCTTGAGTTTACCTATACTACCCTAGGGCGTGGTTTATGAAAGCTTTAAGTGTATGTTATCACCCTCCGTAATAGTGACGTAGAACACACTTCATCGACTGCGTAGGTGTCAATGATGTAGAGGGGTGCTCTCAGCAGCCCCTGATTACACTACCGCAAGGGCCCAGAGTACGGCCTCTGGTTCGGTTTAATCATCGAATGTAGTGTGTCAGTGTCAATATTGTAGGGTGCACCTTAAAACTAACGTAGGCGTATAGGGCTGGGGGGCGCCAAATTGCCCCCTGCCAGGGCGTGACGGACTTGCCTGATTCAATTTAGTTAACAACTATTGTAACCCTTTTTATTCATAGCCTATTGCACTGTTTACAAAAAAAAGATATGCAGCTTTCACAGGAGCAATTCGCAAACCCTACACTTTATTAATATATTTATATATAAAAAACATACATACATATACACACACATATATACAGTGCTTTTTTTTTGTAAAAAAAAAGGGGGGCAGCTACTCAATGGATTGCCTAATTGTGCACACCGTCACAAAAAAGCACTGCATATATATATATATAAATATATATAAACATATACATATATTTACACACACATATATAAATATATGTATATATATGTATATGTTACTATCCATGTCTCTGAACCACAGAGGACAGATTTCAGATTACTGTTAAACAGTAGTATTTTGGAAAGCTGTTTAACAGTAGTATTTTAGAAAGCTGTTAAACAGTAGTATTTTGGAAAGCTGTTAAACAGTAGTATTTTGGAAAGCTGTTAAACAGTAGTATTTTGGAAAGCTGTTAAACAGTAGTATTTTGGAAAGCTGTTAAACAGTAGTATTTTGGAAAGCGTCCAGTTAGTGAGGAGGGAGTTGAATGCACACTTGGCCGAGCTGATACAGCTTTTGACTTCCTCATCTGCTCCCCCATCCTTGTTTACTACACTTCCAAGATATGTGAAGAGATCCACCTCAGAAATAGTCATCTCTTACATCCAAAGGGGAGCTCCAGTTTATTATTAATTCTCATCATCTGTTTTTTTTCAGTTGATCTTTAGGCCTGTCTTCAGTGCTTCTTGTTTACTTAGCTTGGACTGGGCATACTGTTGTTGAGGTTGTTCTCCTAATGATCCAGTCAATGATTGAAAAAGATCATTGGCAAAAGCATGCAACCTTGCCATACTCCGGTTTTCACTGGAAAAGGGCTAGTCAACTTGTTGTCAATAGCTGGCAGTTTAAGGCTTCATATAGCTGTTGGATGATGTTGATGAATTTAATAGGGATCCCACAGTGGTTCATTAACTTCCAAATGACATCTCTATCCACACTATCAAATGCCTTCTCAAAATCAACAAAGATCATGTGGAGAGGTAATTGTCACTCAATTGCCTGTTTAATAATTATATGCCCAGTGGCTATGTTGTCAGTATACAACATGTTCTGGCAAAAACCTCTCTGTTCTGAATTTCTTGTTCAAGGACTCTTTCAGCTTCTCAGGCATACTTTTTGTACCTTGCTAGGGACAGATAATAGCATGATTTCTCTCCAATTGTTGTATCAAGAAAGGTCACCTTTTTTGGTAGCTTTACTAGATATCCCAGTTTTCATACCCAGAATGAAGAGTCATCAATTCTTGCAATTACCCTCCCAATACAAAGTTCTAAGGTCTTTCTTTTTCTGTTGGTCCTAGCGACAAAAATCTGACTATTTCATTATTGATCCCCAAAATTGATTATTTCATTTTTGATCGCCCTAATTAAAAAATTTTTGTTAACAAAATATGTGAAGAGCCTCTCTACAGACTATACTGCAGCTTTTTAACCCCTTAATGCAGACTGTCGCCAAAAGTTCTCCATACATTGCTGAACAGGATGACGACGTTGCCAAAAATATTGCGGACAGAGAGATGTGCGCACATGGGCTTTTATATATTAGGATGTGTATCAAACAACAAAAATGCAACACAAAATACATGCAAATGGAAAATTTTCATGGGAAACTACTCTAATAGTTTTTTTAAAAGTGGCCAGTTTTTATTTACAAAGACTTGTCTCAAACATCTTTGTTTAAATTTTGTTCCAGGATATTTTCCATTGTTTTGGCCAATGATTGTTATATTATCTGTTTATATAATATTTTGTAAAATAAAAAATAAATATACCTTTTTCAATATTCATAAGTTACCTCTCATTACTAGATCCGTCCTAATTGATTATGCTAAAACTAAAACGATAAGATTACCCAAATAATTTTTTTTAATAAGTAACTGAAAACTGATTAAGTACAATTTTCAAGGTTTGCTGATGAAATTCCAGGTTTTAATACTTTTAGGGTGAAATTCAAGGCTTTTCTGATGCTTTGAATTGTTGTTTTTTAAAATTCAATGCTTTTTTATGAATTCAAGGTCCATTATGGACATTGCATAAAGAATTTATTGTATTTAAAATAAATGTTTGTTTAACTATAAATAGTGAAAAAATAAATTAAATACATCTACATACCTATCAAGGAGTTGTAAAAAGCCATGACTGCAAATATGTGTTGAAATATTTTGTGAATAAGTTGACGTAGACAAGAAGAAGATAAATTCATCAGGGTGAGTTATGTACTTCTCCAGGCTAAGAAGTTTCTTATGAAGACTTACTTCTCTTAATGAAGGTTTTGATGTAGATTGGTGCCGAAAGCTATACCACCCAACTAAATTCTGTAGATAAAATGTGGAGTAAACTTTATTAGTATTTTAATAACTATTTTTATACCGAATTTCAAATTCTAAAAGTTTAGCGATCTTTACTTAGTTGGAGTAGTGGTCCTCAATTATTGTTGAAATCAATAACTCTAAGACAAAATATCTTAAAAGAACTAAATTATTTTCTTTAAAGATAATAATGCATCATACAGAAAGATAGGAAAAAGATAGGAAAAAAAGCCACAGGAAAAAAAAACCTCAGAGGTAAAAAAGTCACAGGAAAAAAGTCACAAATGTGTATTTGCATGGAATTTGTTAATACATTTATGTATTAAATATTCAGAAAGTGCAAATCAACTTTCGATTAACTAAATGTAATGTAGTGTGCGTAGGTTCTATAGGTATAGATATATTTATGAGACACGTCAAATATTTAGTATGTAGGTTTTAATTTCATTTTACATATAACATTTAATAGAATTTAACAGATTGTTCCAACCTTCTCAGTTTTCATTGTGTTTTAAATACTAACTTTAAATTGGCGTGAAATAGCATGAGGACGTAGTTCATCTGACTTGCTGCCCTCAACTCAATAGTTCAACCACCTTTACTGCCCACATTTACCACGCTAATTACATAAAAAAGCATAGGATCAAAACAGAAAGCCCACATGGTACAAAGACTGTCATTGACGCAAAACATTCACACACAATACGGACGGACAAGGCAGACTGAGGAGAAGCTGACAAAGGAAAGGCCTACGGAGAAAAAACATGCAAAACACAATAATGTGGCTAAATTTCGTTTACAATTAATTTTTCTACTGTGTATTTAACTAAATACGCAATGATAATTTTGGTTGCTGTGTAAATTATCTTATAGAATTTTTACTTATCATTGTTATAAACTCTAAGGCCTTGAAAGTTTTTTAAATATGCTACCAAAAAAAAAAAAACACCCACATTAATACACCCAAAATTTTACAATTCTCAAAAATAAAATTAGAAATATTTCTTAAAAGATTTTTGTGACTTTTTTCTGTGACTTTATTTGTGAATTTTTTTCCTTTGTGACTTTTTTTCAGAAATTTTTCTTCCTTTGTGCCTTTTTTTCTGTGACTCCTAGCAAAAAACAACAACTTTTTTCTGTTTTTTTCCCTGTGACTCCCCCCCCCCCCCAACCCTATTCCACCCCTGGTGAACACCGCCAGTAATCAATTAGCTGTTGTGCAATGCTGGACGTGTCTCAAAATGTGTTCATTATATGTTAAGAGCCTTGCAACTGCAGAACAGGTAAAAATAAACCGGGAGTGATCTCCCCTAAACTTTCTCGAATATCTATAATATAGGCGGCCAAGTAGTGTGTCAGTCCTTCTGTCATCGCTATAGATTTTGAAACCATAAAAGTAAAAATCGCACCATGCAGTGCTTTTCAGTGCATCACAGTGTCTTACTATAAGCAATAGCATAGGGTTTGTTTATACAAGGACATTAAGTTATTTTATAGTCGCCACTGTTTTTACTCTTTTGCATAGCATAAAGGAAATATTAAATACATGCACATTCCTAAAACATATTAAAAGGATCAATGTCAAATATCATTTTTGTTAAATTTCTTGAAATAACAGTAGGGTAGAAAAATCTAATTAAAATGTTTAGTAATTTTGACAAGGGAGGTAATTTAAAAATAATTCAACTCACGCTAAAAATGTGAATGTAAAATCTCCAAGACGGAATAATTGTTTGAATAATATAATTAGCAAAATGTGAATGCAAATTATGCAGACGTGTAATAGTACATTATTGTTGGAATATTATAATTAGCATTGAATGATTAAAGGCTATCTTTCATTTATTTTAATCACTGAACGTACTGTTTACTAATTATAATTTTTAATCAACTATTCCCCATTATTATATAAAGTCATTATCGGAAATCGCTCAAAAGTTGATACGGATCTACGATTTTGATAAAATACTTATATATAAAATTTCATTAACCTAGCTGTAACGGTACTCAAGTTATCGTGTTTACACACACACAGACAAGATTGCAAAATTATGTTTTTTCGTATCAGTGAGGTATAGAACGTCGAGATTTGTAAAAATCTCGATTTTTTTTTTTTTGCACAATTACAAAACTTTCTTCATACTTCGAATATACAAGAAAGTAAAAATTGAACTTTTAGGAATTGAAGATCCTTATATTTGTGTTGACATAAAAAATACAGTAATATATAGATGATTTACATCTAGTTAGTATAGATTTTAGATTCTCTAGTTAAGTAAAAGATTTAGTAGCAATAGATCTAGTAGATCTACACTACAGTAACAAACATGAGACCACTTTAAAAAAAACCCTAATAAAACTACTAATCTACTTCTGAGGTAAAAACCACTGTTGTTCTTAGATCTCAACCAATCTGGGTAGCATGTTATGTAAGTTATGACCCCCATGGTCCAGCAGGGAAGTGATCAGACACATACTGATGTTTTTCCCTAAAAATTTCTCACCTCCGTGATACTTGATATCCAGCCCCCACTTGTTTTTAGGGGTCATCCATAAATGACGTCACGCTTTTTTTGACGATTTTTACCTCTCCCCCCCTCCATCACACATCGTCACAAAAAGCCAGACCTAAAATGACGTCACAACTCAGTCTACAACCCCCCCCCCTCAAAATTGCGGTTGAATTTTTCTTAAAACATCTATATTTTTCCAAAATCTTGTCTGAACTCTGTCGAAATAGAGTATTTTAATCAATTCCTATTACAATTTATTAAAACAGTTTTCTAAAACGCGAAATAAAGTCTAAAATTAGTTTTCTAACATTGCTTTTTTATACTGCAAAAGTGGCACGTCACAAAATTACGGACCCCCCTCCCCCCTATGAATTTGACGTCATGTTATGTAATTTTTGACCATCATGGTCCAGCAGGGAGAACAATGGGGAAATCAGTATCACTGATCTGCTTCTAAATTTAAACTCAGTCCAGTATCAGATACATATTACTGTAGTTGGACACATAGTTTGTAGGCCTAAGTAATTAATTGAAGCCTTCTACGACAAAAATATTAACTATTTGCTAGTACTAGTATAAAGTTTTAAAATTTAATTTAAGTTGCAGATTCTAGATCTAAGTATAGTCATACAAATAATTTCAGATAATTGTGTTTGCTAAATAAAATGCTTAGAATCTGAGCTACATTCTAGATCTTAGAGACAAATACATTTTTTATTATGAGGCCTATTTATTATTGGTGTATTTTTAATCGAAAATAGATCTAAATTTTGAATTTAAATTTTAATTAAATTAGTAGATTCTTGATTCTATGTCGATGTAATGAAGCCAGTCACTCTGAATCTGGATCGAATTTAGTTTACAAAATGATTAGATTTAGAGCTAGATTCTAAATAAAATAAATATTCCAATGAATGTTATTATTACTCTTGACCTTGGTCTACTGCATTAGTATTTGTGAAGGCAGAGCATATTTGTTTTATTGTGTTGTCTTTTGTTAATTAAAATGAAGTTTATTGTTTACTCTCCCTACCAAAAACAAAAGGTCGAGAATATATTCACAGTTTCTTTGCCGCTGCTTCACTCACACCACTTTGATAAATATTGGCTACAAATTGACAGCGTCTATTTTCTGTTGACTGCTAATCTCTATCACCTTGGTTTAATATAACTCTTGGCAGTTGAAATTAAGGAATTCCTTTAGATCTGTCACTTCGAGTATCACAACATTTCGCAGCACAGATCACCATTTTGAATGTGGATTCTACACCGCAATGGCGAATGTTTACATACATAATGTTCCGTGAGGGCATACTTAAGGACTTTATTGTTGTAACAAGCCTTTGTTTTATTTAGTCATTTTTATATGTTAAGAGACACACTTGATTACCCTTACAGGCGTGTCAGTGTGTTCACAATATATAATTGGTGGCCCTGGACTGATGTGTTTTCATGAGTCATGTATTTAGTCAGGCCAGTTCTCGTTAATGTGTACAGTGACTTAGATCTTACTACTGATAGCCAAAGGTTATACTAGACCATGGGTTCCCAAACTGAGGGTCACGACCCCCTAGGGGGTCACCAACTGGTAGACTAATCCAAACAAAATTTCACTATACAATTATTTTTTTAAAAAGTTTTTAATGATGTCTTGAAGTTTGAATAATTTCATATTAAACAATCAAATAAAGAGCCTTTCCTATAAATATATACTTTTCTAATTTTTATTTTATTATTTATTCCAATTTAGGTTTTTTCATGTGAAATCTCATGATTTTTTTTTACCCCGCTGACGTTTTAAAAATATTAACAGAGTACTGAAGTTTTCAGATAACTCTTAAGTCATTTTGATAGGAGTCATTCGGAACACACCAAAAAGATATGGAGTTCTTAAGGAGGCATGAGACTAGTTGCAAACATCACAGACTTGGTTGAACAGACAGTTTTCACCAATGCAACAGCATTAGTGCAGGCAACGTATAAAGTCACATTAGAGAAAATCTCATCAAACCCTGCATGTTGAAGATGCAACAAATACATCTATCATCTATCTAATACTACTATTCACCAGCAAATAGCATCGCGAGGGACTTACTTTTTATAAAAGGGGGGGTCGCCTTTCAAAAATGTTAAGGAACCTGTGTATAAGACTGAGGCAGACATGCCTACCGTCCCACAAAGGCGGAATTGTCCTGCTGTTTTGCAAACAATAGTGTCCTGTTCTGCCGTCCCGTTTTCATCAAAGTTTGTTCCATTTTTTTTTAAATTAATAAAGAAACATAATAAATCAAATTGAAAAAAAGACATGGAAAAGCAATTATCTCCCTTTGGCAAACGTTTCCATTTTCTAGTTTACTTACAATATTACTTACAATAAGTCATCATGTGGACAATTTTGCTTCTGAATGATCTTTTTAGTATTTGCTATTGAATTGTAGATTTAAATTATGCTTTAAATAACATGTAGGGAGAAAAATACAATAAAATAATGAC